GGGGGGGGGCGGGGAGGGGGCGAAGGGAGAACGGGGGCGAGGTGGGGGGCTATTATGAGAGAATGATCAAGGACATGTCCCCATTGTAAAGGCTCTATCGCTGCTTATATATATGTGTAGGACCTGTTCAAAGGTGACTTTTGTTGTCTGCGCATTTTGGTCTCTTTCACTCTGTTTTGTGCACCGACCTGGAACAGTCAATGGATGCCTTTCGTCTCCTTGTCATGAGAAGTAGGGCAGGGCTTTGGGTCTTTGGGACCTTTGGGTCATTGGGACAGGGAACAAACAGATTCCTCGAACATAGTAGGTCTTTGGGTCTTTGGGACATGGAATGAAAGGATGCCTCGAACGTATCAGTGGGTTGTTTAGGTGTGTGGGTGTAACACTGTGTATGCAACAGGGTGGTAGGGAGGGTTAAGAAAGTTAAAGAAACATATAATATAATAAATTATTAATAATATTGTATCAATTTATAATTTTATGTGCAACTCTGTGCCGAGCTATGGCAATGCGGTCAGCCTTGGACCTGAGAGGCAAAGTAAATGGAGAGAGCTGAAAGAAAGGAGAAACTGTGAGAAAAGCCGAGAATAGAAGAAGGGAAAGCAAGAACTCAACGGAGGGAAAGCAAGAACTCAACGGAGAGTGTGAAAAAGAGCGCGGTTTGTGTCGTGTCATGTGGAAAACCGAAAAGGGTCCTCATGGGCCCGGCTTCCATTCTGCGGAGCGCATTTCTCTCTTCAAGATAAGCATCGGCGTCTGCTTCGGTGGTTGAATCCCCACAGTCGTCAGTCTGCCTGCATTGAAGCATCACTTATGTGTAATCCCATTGTCATGTCGGTTTGGACGTCATCCTCAGTCCGACTCCTGTTCCCCAGTGACAAGCGAGGAAGATAGATCTAATACTAAAAAGAAAAAATCCCACTACTCTTGACGTGTCACCATGTTATCGCCCGGGTATATCTGACATCACCGATTGCTTCCTTCGAAAGGATCGAGTCGCAGTCGAGCCGGTAGTTCATTAAAAGAAACAAGGAGGATGCCCGCCGCGACTGCGGCGGGGACTAAGAGCAGGGGAACAAAAAAAAAAAAAAAAAAAGCTATGCCCACGGCATGCAGTGCAGCCCCGTGGAATGGTCACCACGGCCACGCCCACGGCAGACCCACTCTTCGCCCACTGCTCCCTCTGCGGTGCCTCC